GGCCTCCCCGCGCGTCGCCTGCGCACGGCGGCGACCGGCGGCCTCGTGGCGCCCACGGCATGCCGGGCCGCCCGCGTGGCACGCCACGCCTGGGACGGCGGGGTGCTCTCGCGCAGCCCGGGCGCGGCCTTTCGTGCGCGGGCGTCTGGGGGCCACTGGCCGCCTCTCTGTCCCTGCGCCGCTCACGGGGTGCCGCTCTCGCTGGCTTCCAACCCGTGCGCGCAGGGTCCGCTCGGGTGCCGCTGGGGTGGCGGCTCCCTCCCCCCTCGCCAGAGACCTCCAGGGTCTCTGGGAATCCTCCGAGGAGCGCCGAGAACCTCCGGAGGAGTCACCGAGCGCCTCCAAGAACATCAGAAGGCACCCGAAAGTCCTCGCAGAAAACCTCCATGAAGCGCCAAACGCACCCCACGTCCTCCCAACCTCCGAGTACGTTCGGAAGCACCCGGAAGCGTTCAAACGCACACATCCTTCTGTTCCTTAGCCAAGCAACAGGCGCACGCAGGTGGGAGGCGCCAGCAACCCTCCTCCTCCTCCTCCTCCTCCTCCTCCTCCTCCTCCTCCTCCTCCTCCTCCTCCTCCTCCTCCTCCTCCTCCTCCTCCTCTTTCGAGCTGAGCTTCGAGCTGCGGGCCGACTGGTCCGAAGCACCGGGGGCCTCGATGCCCCTCCTGCTGCTCTGCACCAGCGGCATGGGGCGGAGGGTACGAAAAACCAAGGGGCAAAGGAAAAAGGACCGACCGAACGGCGAGAAAGACTACAAAAAGTGCCAAGGCTCGACCTAAACCGTGCTTTCCGTGTTCGGCTTGTTCTCGTGTTTCCCTCGTCCGTTCTTCGCTCCGCCCCTGCTGCAAAACAAAACCAGAACAAACGCGGTCCACAAAATCGCGCAAGCACCAGTTAGGTCGAGGCCTGGGAGTTGGGAGCGGAAGAGATAAGGCCTCCTTCTTCTTCCCGATGGCACCGACACACGGAAGCCGCAGGAAAGTACTGACTTGACAAGAGGTGGAGGGGGGGGAGGAGGAGTAGCTGGGAGTAGCTGAGAGCGGACCACTGTCCTCGGCCCCTCACGGGGCCGCGTCAAAAAGAGGGTCAGAAAACCCAATCCTCCTCCTCCTCAAAACCCTCCCAGGCGGGCCGCCCCAGGCCTTGCCCACTCGCTGGTGGGCCACCGCTGAGATCGGCAGCAACGCCGCCTGGGCCTCCACTTATGGGAGGTCGGGAGGGAGGAGGAACCTGCGGCGCTCGGGACCTTCCTTCCTGCGACGAGACGACATCCAACGACTCGACTAAGATCAGTTGGTCCCGCAACGCCATGGCCGACAGGATCGGCCTGGGGGGCCCTTCGCGTCTAGGAAACAGGCCCCTCGATAAACGTCGAAGGTTCTCGGTCCCCTTCGGGGGCGGTCCTCTACAGGTGCTCTTGAGGGCTCGCGGGTCCGTCGTGGCGTAAAAACCACAGCCCGTGCAACGCGTAAGGAACCAACGCGGGAAGAAACTGCAGCGGTGGCTTCGATGGATCTCGAGCGCCGCCGTGCGCACTGCTAGCGGAGCCACTGGGCAGGCCTCCACTCCCAAGGGGGAGGCGCTGGCACACGGGGTCGCAGCAAAAGACTGTATGCTGGCGTCGGCCACAACCATCTGACAAGTGACACGCGCCCACTTCACCCCGACACGCTTCAACTGGTGGGCCGACAGACTCAGCAACCTCTGGAGCTTGGGAAGGCGAGCAACGCACGGCAAACGAGAAGAACGTGCAGCATCAGCCGCTGTCGCGTCGATCATCGCACGACGGGCACGCCTGCGGATGAGCGAAGCAGTGGCATCGACGCGATCGACGTCGGGCCACGCGCCAAGCAAAGCCGTCTCGCCCGCCAACTCCGCCGCCCTCCCAGCCCAAAGATCAGCCGACGAATTCCCGCAGACAAAAAACAAGTCCCACTGGGAGCGGACTGACTCGGAAGATTCATCTCTGTGAGACGCTGTCCAGATCACCTGAAGCATCTCCCCATCAGCTCGTGACTGCCACAACGCGCGCGCTTCGGTCCAAAGGTCCTCGTTTGGCCCCGACGGCCCTGGCTCCCGAGCGCGGGATCTCCAGGACCAAAACAAGGGGAGGTGGTCGGTCACAAAGGTAAACGGGCCTCGGACCTCCGCTAACGCCAAGACAAAAGCGAAAACTTCGGCACGCGGGACAGTCTGTTTCTCGCCCGCCAAGGGCTTCGCCAAGGCAGCGACAAGATCAAAAGCCTGCTGAGACCTGGAAAGGGCAACAATGGCGGATCCGCATCGACGCCGTCGTGGGTCATCACTGTACTTCCCACCAGATCCGTCTCCGAAAATGAAACAACGACCTTCCCACTGGCCTTCCGCAAAACTGGCAGGGCTCCCAAATCGCTCCTCGACTCCTCGAACCAGCTCCTCATCAAAAACAGGGTGGGTGAGGCGCGAGGGAGGGAGGCCCCGAAGCCAGAGGGAAGGTTCGGCCTCGTGCGACGACACAGCAAGCGGCACCAGGCAATCTGTGCGAGAGTAATCCTCATGCTCAGCATTTTTCTCACACTCCCAGATGCGATGAAAGAGAGATTCAGCGCTTTTGCCGCAGCGGACACAGGTGGCCTCCGCGAGGTAGCCTTGGGAAAGCATCCTCTGTCTGGTCCACTGGCCACCGCTGACCACAGTGACGTTTGCAGCCGCCAGCGCTCGGTCTCCGTGGCGCTCCAGTCTGCGTTGCTCTCGCCAGAAAGGAATCAAATCCGCGCCCTCAGCAAGGTCCTGTCCCGCCTCATGCTTGGCAGCCTCACGCCAAAGGATCCCACGGATGTCCGCCGCCAGGTCCTCAAACAGAGCCTCAAAGGAAGCCAAGGCAGAGAAACCTGTATCATGACGCGAAGGAATGTCCCATTGATCAACAAGCTCGGAATCGCACTCCGTAGGGCGAAGCCAAGACGTAGCAGCAACAGGGTCCCAGCCAGTATCCATCAGCGTTGCCTGGACCGTGGCAATGGGCCCCCGCACATAAGCCCAGCGACGTCTCGCAGCCTTCTGCAGCCTCTTACGTATCGACGGCCAGGCACGAATCACTCGATCATGGAGATCAGGATGTCGCAGCCGCAGCGCAACCCACTCACGCACGACCTGCAACGGGATCTCCAACGCAGGGTCAGGCACCGCAGGGTCGCACGCCAATGTAGTAGTTAGGCAGCGTCCTCTAGCTCGTCCTCCAACCATCTGACCAGCTTGTCGCCTCATACGCATCAAATCTGACTTGCTCATGCCAAAGACTTGATGGCCATACAACGCCTGAGGGACTGCACCAGTATTCCAAAGCCCACAAGATATTCTCGCCAGCGCACCAATTCGCCTCAATCTGTGAATTTTTCCAGCACGCCGCATGGCACTCTGGATCCGCTTCTTAGCCTTCACCACAGTGCGCTTCCGTCCAGCAGCAGCATCCAAGCCAAAGTCCACTGTCTCATTCACAGCCTGAACAGGGAAGCCGCGAGCCCGCAACGCACGAGCCCTCCGCTGAGTCACCGCAGGGTTTGAGCCAATAAGCACGGTCTTGGCCGAAATGACCATACGCTGATCCTCGAGACCCGCTTGGAGGTCCATGGCGGTAGAGATCATGGCCTGTCCCACCGAAGCGCAACTACCTTCGCACCTGGCCGTGGTGTCATCCACAAACGTCCAGAGTCCCGCCGCTGGGGACCGCCGATGAACGAACTCCAGGATAGGATGCAAAAACAGCTTGGCCAGCCCCACCCCACGTGGGGATCCCGCCACAATAGATCTGGAAGGAAAGATCGGGCGACTCAAGACAGCGCGTTCCTGCAGGTATCTGGGCGCCAAGAATTGTTGAACCTCCAAAGAAATCAAAGCCGCAGGGTAACCAACCTTCCTGGCAAGCCGCAGAAGCATGAGCAGGGAAACAGAATCATAGAACTTCTCAATGTCCAATAGCAGCGTGAGGGAGGTGACTCCCAGCTCCAGTCCTGACTCATCCAAGCACGCCCTGACCAGCCCAGCACGCAACGCAGAAGATCCACGAATGGCCGAAGAGGAGGAGGCGGAGGAACAAACGGTGGGTCCTCCTCCTCCTCCTCCTCCTCCCTCCCGCTGCTCCTCCTCCCCCTCGCCGCCCCCCTCCCCTCCTCTTCCTCCCTCCCCTTTCCTTATACATCGCTCCTCCCTGTCGCACCCCCACGTGTTGGCAGGGCGTGCCGGGCGTTTCGCCTGAGACCTTCTCACCCTTCATGATCCTGGAGCTCGAAATCTGCACGAGCGGTTTTCATCATGCTGCTCTTGCCTCATTGCAGCGCGCATTGGCCTACACAGTTTGCAGCGACTTCTCGGATGGAGAGCGGGTTGTTCTCACCATGCTGCTCTGCCATTCGCGCCGCGAGCTTTCATGCTACAAATTGGCAACAATTTCAAGAATGAAGGGCGGCTCTTTTTCGAAATGTGGCTCTCGCCTCAGCGCCGCGCGCATTCGTTTTGAAGGTTTGCAGCATTTTCATGGATTCGCATGGTCGAAGTCAGAGGAATCGTGTTTGGCAAGATGTGAGATTGTCTGGACTTGCAGTCACGTTTGCTGGTGGTGGTGAAGTCCCAAGACTGGTGTTCGTGCACGATTTAGGATTGCCAGGACGCAGCAGTCACGTTGATTCGCGGTGCTGAAGTCCCAGGAATGGTGTTTCGGCACGGTGTTGGATTACAAGGACGCAGCAGCCACGTTGATTCGCAACGCTGGGGTCCGAGAAATGGTGTTTTTGGCACGATCGAGGGTTCTCAGACGGTTGTCTTCAATTTGGGCGTTCCCCGCAATACACGTAAATTCTTGGAAGGCCCTATGAGAAAGGAACTTGGAGGAATGGTTCATTGCACCATCGTCAATGTGTCTTGGGTTTACTCTGGTCCTCCTCCCCCTCCCCCTCCCCCTCCCCCCTGCGGCGAAAGAAGCCCGGAGCGCCGTGGTGAGCGGGGGGCATCGCGGCGGCGCGGCGGGATAATTCTGCAGCAAGCGCTTGGTGGGCGTGAACTTGTCGAACGCCCAATCGACCGTCTTCTGATGGGGGATCGGGAAACAGAGGAGCACGGAACACACTCCGAATAAGCCTCTTGTCCGAGTGAAGCTTCTACAGGCTCGGAGGAAAAACCCTGGAGGGGCTCAAGCTCGGAGCGGGGTGGCTCTCGGGGCTACGTCGAAAACCAGCGTGGAAGATCTGGGGCGAGGAGGGAAGGCCGCTCCGAAGGGAACGGGACCTGAGGGCAACGGGACCCGCGTCCTGTCTGTGTTCCCCAAGCAGTGTGTCTTCGGCCTGGCGGCTATGTGGCCGCCGCCGCCGCCCCGTCGCCGCCTCGTCGCCGCTCGCGCATTGCTACCACGTGATATGTCTGGCATTGAATTGCGTTGCAGCGCACCACCTGTGTTGCACAACATCGGTTGCACCACATACATTGCAGCACATGGGTATCACCACATGGATTGCAGACCATATGGTGCATCCCGTAGTTTGCACAACCTATGCTACTCCACATGGACTGTATCACACAGATGTCACAACAGAGATTGCACAACATAGATTCCACAACGTATATCGCACAACAAACTAGATTGAACCACAGATATTGCACCTCATAGACTGCTCCGCATAGATTGCACCACATAGATTGCACCACATAGGTTGCGCCACATCGATCGCACCACAAATATTACACCATATATTGCACCGCATAGATTGCACAGCGTAGATGTACCACACATGTTGCCCCGCATACAAAACACCACATCGATCGCACTACATAGAGTGCACAACCTAGATTGCACAACCTGGATTGCAAACCATTGATTGCAACACATAAACTGTTTCCCACGTATTGCAACACGCATTTTGCAACACGTAGATTGCACCACCTAGATTGCACATATATTGCACAACGTAGATTGCACCACATCTATCCCATCACACGTAATGCACCGCGTGGGTCGATCGCAGCACATAGGTCGCTCCACACATGCAGTGGAGGCTAGTTCACAAGAAATCTTCCACACGAAACCCAACACTGAGACCCTAGGGCGTCCATTGTTTTTTGGTGTGGGAGCGTCGCGCTCTCCATCGCGAAACCATCGAAACCCAGGGCACCCTGGAGGCAAGCAGGGTGTCTCTTGGCATGGGCCTCCACTGTATAACATAGACTGGTAGAAACACACCATTTGGGGTCCACGCCGGCTCACGCTTTTGCTTTGAACAACGGATGCGCAACTTGTTTTCGGGGGCGCGCAAACATGGATTCGCGACCCATGGATTTGGCGCGCTGTCGCCAAATCCATGGATCGGGGGAGGTGCCCTCCCGAAAAGTGCGGCCGGTGCCGCCTCGTTCGGCGGCGGAAGTCTGCGGTTTCCCATGGAAGCGGGGCCCGTCGCCAAGCCACGCCCCCTCGAGGTCCATGCTGGCGATCCCCTGCTAGGTGCGTGCTTCCCTGGGCCCTCCACGGGCCGTCGGACTGTCAGACGACGCCTCCAGGATGAAGGCCAGTCCCAAGGGAAGGCCTAGGACCCTTCTTCTTCCACAGGGCCCGCTTACTTCATGCTGAAAGAGAGGGGCAGGGGCGCGGGGGACAAACTACGCATCGGTCGGAAGAAAAATAGGTAAAAACATGAAGTAGGAAGACGTTGACAGATGATTGGGTCCCGTCCGCCCCCTGAGGAGGACTGAAAAGGTGGAGCCACTCGATCATTGAAGCAGGAAGGCGCTTAATGCAGATTGGAATCTGGGAATCCACACATACCTACTTTCAACGACCGATGGGCAAGTGCGCTCGCGTCATATCTGACATCCGACCTCCCCCCCTACTCTTAGGTCGGGCATGTCCTACAGGCGGATTTTGGACAGACAATAATACATACCCAAAATAAATTCATAAATGGTTAAACATTATCCTGCGACGTACCCAACCCTTTCTATACATGTGGCGAGTATATTCAGGACCACTCGATATAACGAGAGCTGCTCCATTATGCCCTCCTCCTCGTCCTCCTCCTCCCACCTCCTTCTCCCTCCCCCTCTTCTGCCCCTTCCAGGTGTGAGAGCAGCCAGGGGACCTCCTCCAGGCCCCACGCCCACCTCCAGGGCGCACGCTCGCCTCCTGCGCGAACGCCCGCCTCCGAGGCGAACGCTCGCGCCCAAGAGGACCCCGAAAGCCCCTAAGAGGCCCTAAGACGACCCCCCACGGGCCCCAAAGCTGTTTCCAAGAGGCCCCCAAGCCGCCAACCACGAGATCCCAACGAGCACTTCAGTGGCCTCTGGCCCACCACCCAGGCACGGTGGCGGGATGGGCCGAAGGCCAGTAGATCCGCCGCCCCCTGCTTGCAGGGGTGCACGGCGTGCTGGACGAGCTGTTAGGTTTTGGTTTTGGTTCTTTTTCCAAAAGAACTCCCCAGTGGGCTCCGGCAGAACCCGCCGGCCACCCGGAAAATCCCCAAACGTGCTCAACGACCGGAAAAAATCCTCCAAAAAACGGCCGTTTCGCTCGGGACATCCTCAAAAAATCGCGAAGATGGCCCAAGATGGCCTCCAAGTCCGCCCGAGATGGTCCAAGACGGCCTCCAAAACGGCCCAAGAGAGTCCAAGACGGCCCAAGACGGCCCAAGAGGCCCCCCAGAGGCCTCCCAGACGGCCCAAGAGGCCTCCAAGAGGTCCTCCAGGAGAGTCCGAAGAGGCCAAAATCATTGATTTTCCTTTGGTTTTTGAAGGATTTTGGCATTTGCGCCTTTTCGGCTCTCCGACGGCTCAAGACGGCCCAAGAAGCCCCCAAGATCGCCCAAGAGGCCCCCAAGAGAGCCCCCTGATGGCCCAAGTGGCCTCCAAGATGGCCCCTAGAGGGCCCCAAGACGGCCCAAGAGGCCTCCAACACGCCCAAGATGGCCTCCAAGACGCCCAAGATGGCCTCCAAGACGGCCCTGGAGCGCCCCAAGAGGGTCCCCCGTTGGCCCAGAAAGGCCCCCAAAACGGCTCCCGACGGCGTCAGACGTGCCAGGAACCCACCAAGATGGCCGAAGTTGGCTCGAAGCTGGCCCAAAAGGGCCCAAGAGGCCCCCAAGAGGGCCTCCAGGAAGGCCAAAAGATGCCAAAATCACTGATTTTCCCAAGGTTTTTGATGGATTTGGACATTTCCCTTCTTTCGGCCTTCCGACGGCCCGAGACGGCCCAAGAGCCCCCAAAGATCGCCGAAAGATCGCCCAAGAGGCCTCCAAGACGGCGATGATGACCATCAAGACGCCCACGTGTTCCCCGAAGGCTTTCCAAACCGATTCGGGGAACACATGGTCCGATGGCTTGGCAGGTCTGGCCTCAACGTTCGGCCACATAGGCGCTTCCACAAAGGCAGGGGGCGGCGGTGATTCGCCGTAGGCGTCTTCGATCCGCCGCCCCCTGCTTGCAGGGGTGCACGGCGTGCTGGATGATTCAGTTTTGGTTTTGGTTCTTTTTCTAAAAGAACTCCCCAGTGGGCTTCGGCCCGTCCCGCCGGCCACCCGCGCGTTTCCCAAAATGCGTCTGTCAATGCCCAAAAACGGCCGTTTCGCTCGGGACATCCTCAAAAAATCGCGAAGATGGCCCAAGATGGCCTCCAAGTCCGCCCGAGATGGTCCAAGACGGCCTCCAAAACGGCCCAAGAGAGTCCAAGACGGCCCAAGACGGCCCAAGAGGCCCCCCAGAGGCCTCCCAGACGGCCCAAGAGGCCTCCAAGAGGTCCTCCAGGAGAGTCCGAAGAGGCCAAAATCATTGATTTTCCTTTGGTTTTTGAAGGATTTTGGCATTTGCGCCTTTTCGGCTCTCCGACGGCTCAAGACGGCCCAAGAAGCCCCCAAGATCGCCCAAGAGGCCCCCAAGAGAGCCCCATGATGGCCCAAGTGGCCTCCAAGATGGCCCCTAGAGGGCCCCAAGAGGGCCCAAGAGGCCTCCAACACGCCCAAGATGGCCTCCCAGACGCCCAAGATGGCCTCCAAGACGGCCCTGGAGCATTCCAAGCGGGCCCCAAGTCGGCCCATAGAGGCCCCCCAAACGGCTTCCGACGGCTTCAGACGTGCCAGGAACCCACCAAGATGGCCGAAGTTGGCTCGAAGCTGGCCCGAGACGGCCCAAAAAGCCCCAAAGATCGCCCAAAGCTTGCCCAAGAGGCCTCCAAGACGGCCAAGATGACCTTCAAGATGCCCACGTGTTCCCCGAAGGCTTTCCAAACCGATTCGGGGAACACGTGGTCCGATAGCTTGGCAGGTCTGGCCTCAACGTTCGGCCACATAGGCGCTTCCAAAAAGGCAGGGGGCGGCGGTGATTCGCCGTAGGCGTCTTCGATACTAAACAGTCTTGGAGCTCTCTTGAGTCTGTCTTGGGCCGTCTAGTTCCGCACGCTCTCTCGACGTCTCCAGAGCGAGAGCCCCATTTTGAACAGAGCGATATCCAGAGCGATAGCCCCATTTCGCTAGTTCCGAGGATGCCTAGAGCGAGAACCCATTTTGAACAGAATACGTCTTAAAGCAGCTCGTCCGACATCACACTTTGTGGCGACAATTGCGCAGATCGCAAGCCCCCCGAGGGGCGGCGAGGTCCCGAGGTGGTCCGCGTGGGACCCACCTCCGCTGGGCCTCCCAGGAGCCAACGAAAGTGGCGACAATTGCGCAAATCGCAAGTCCCCCAGGGGGCGGCGAGGTCCCGAGGTGGTCCGCGTATGACGTACCTCCGCTGGGCCTCCCAGGAGCACACGAACGTGGCGCAAGTTTCGCAGATCGCAGGCCCCCCACGGGGCGGCGAGGTCCCGAGGTGGTCCGCGTGGGACCCACCTCCGCTGGGCCTCCCAGGAGCCCACGAACATGGCGACAATTGCGCAGATCGCAAGCCCCCCAAAGGGCGGCGAGGTCCCGAGGTGGTCCGCGTGGGACCCACCTCCGCTGGGCCTCCCAGGAGCCCACGACCATGGCGACAATTGCGCAGATCGCAAGCCCCCCAAGGGGCGGCGAGGTCCCGAGGTGGTCCGCGTGGGACCCACCTCCGCTGGGCCTCCCAGGA